GACTTCCATTTGTATTCAATATCTTGAACTTTGACTTTGTTCAATTCATTATTATTAAATACTTTTTCAATAAGATTTCTTAAAGAATATACAATTATTATTATAACTATTCAATGTATTATATCAATTTAGAAAGCAAAGTCTAACTGGAGTTTAGACAGTGCTATAAATAATGTAGTATATGTAATGTTTAAATATCATTTAAATGTTTGTTAAAAAGATTAATATTTAATTCAATATGTTTATACTGTTTCATTTATTTTATATACAAAATTAATCATATTATAAATTTGTGTACAATAAAGATCAGTAACATCATGCATTTGTGTTCTTACTTTCACTTTTAGCTCATGTTATATATAGGTTATATTCAACATCAAGGGATTTCTGCAAAGTTGTTAAATACCAAAATGTCAATTCTAACAAGAATATAAAATTATGTCAAGTAACTGAAGAAATCCCTCGATAAAAAAAAAAAAAAAAATTAATAAGCAGTACATTATATTTTTTAGTAAAATAGTGATATATCATTAAAAACCAATTTTATACATGCAGCAAGCTGTCTAAACTCCATTTATATGACATAGGGTTACGTAAAATATTAATTCAATTATAAAGTCTGTCTTACCTGTACACAGGGTTTGCACAGATTCACACACAGCCCATCAGCATCTTTACTGTAATGTTCAACAAGATCCTGAAGGTTCCTGAATGTGGTTCTTCTAGCAATGAAGAAGCCACCCTCATCCAATTGCCTAATGCGATAGTGCTTAACTGTATCACCATCACGCACTACAACAAATTTTTATTATTTTATCATAGAGAAACTGATCTTATTTTAAAAATGTTTAAAATACAATATGAATATGTCATATTATGAATAAGTGTTTTACTGTATGGACTATATAATATGTAACACATGTTTAAATAAGCCTTAACCTACCTGAAAGGGAATAATCATTGTGTCTACTTTCAGAGTCTCTGATTAAAAATGCACCATGATCATTTTCAGGCAATAATAACTTCTTCTCAGCTTCAATTCGTTTAATTTTTCTGAAGTACCATCTAAAAATATAGTAATAACAAAAATAATAAATAAACCACAAAATGTTTTGAAATATATAAAAATAATTTAATATTCAATTAATACATAAAACAAAAAAAACAACAAATAACTAAATATTCTTTCTTCAATGTTTTTATAGTCATACAGGAAGAAGCAAAAGGAAGCATTGCTTATCTAAACTAATTGATAGTCAGAAGTGCCCACCCATGTTAATAAAACCTAAGTGTCAATACAAGTACTGTTAGTGAAAGCAAGGTCGCATTGACTAGTTGACTGTACAGAGAGAAATTCATTAGGTGAAAATGTAACAAAGGAAAGTGAACAAATTAAGATTAATAGTAATTTTTTAGCCCTATTATAAGTATAATATAATTTCCACAATATATGTTACATGTAATAAGCTCAATTTTTTTTTTAAGTGAATACATAACTGTAAACTTTAATGTGACTTGCATTTTAAGTACAAGCATGTTACACCTATACATTTATTCATTAGCTATTAATCTAAATTGATTGCAGTAAAAATATTAATTATCTGTCTTGTAAGATTGTTTAAAAACTTTGTGTATACGTTTTACAAAAGGATTGTTTAAAAGCAATAAGTATAAATATTAATAAAAATATAACTTACGGTTCTGCTTCTATAGATTTCAATTTTGCTACATAATTGCTGGGTATATATCCTTCTTGTCGAGTTCTTTTACTTCTAGCTAACCACCAATCTCCTTGAGTATCATTCAAGATTTCTAGATGTTCACCTTTCCTAAAGCTTAAATCTTCATCTGTACGTGCATCATAATCATAAAGTGCAACAAAAATTTTTGCAGTTGGCACATCTGCATCTGGAATTTGTGGCATAGGCCTAATAGGATCTGGAGGCGGTGTTGGCACTGGACTAGCTTGGGATGCAACTGCCTCTATATTAGGATTGCCTATTCTATCAGGCTTTTCTTTCTCTGTATCTGTTGTACTGCTGAAACAATTACCCATTTTTTGTATGTAGTTTCAAATTCGTCCAATATTCAAATTCACTGTCACTTTGTCATGAAATATAAAAATTCTTTTTGCAAATGTTCTTCCAATGTTTTTATGTTTGATCCTTTTGCATAGATATTGAGGTATGATGATGTAAATATGAAATATTCATAACACACGTCTTGGTGCAACTTTTAATATAATTTTATAACTTCTCGTACATCTGTAGGTCCGTTAATTGTGCGTGATGGAAATGTACAAGGTGAACACTGAAGTGCACTTTGGTTTTTAAAACGTTTGAATAAAAATCACTAAGAAACATGAAAAAATGCATAGAAGTCCTTAAAATTTGATATAATTTGTAAAATCGGCAACTCTTTTCTCGAAGCTTCTCCTCTTCTTCTCAAGAAACTTGCAATTCTTTCGTCGATATCTAATATAATAAACGTTGAACACTTGTAATTATTTCAAAATTTCACTGAGAAACGCAAATAATAAATATGAGCGTTTATTGAAATAGTCACTTACAACGATGACACTTCATCGCGTCAGTATATAAACGTAACACAAAACAGAGGTATGCTCTATTGGTATACGCATTTTCGTCGAGTTCGCGCTGATCCAAGCTTGACGTCATAATATGGCCCTTCTATGATTCAGGTTAGGTTGTAGATCACCAATTTCATTATTAGTGCTTATTGTTATTCAATGTTATTTGCAATAATACTAATGCTATTTCTATTAATGGCAATATTGAACCCCCCTTGGATATTTACTTATTGTTAAAATTTTTTTCACTAAAATAGGTCACTTTTCATGTACAAAAATAAAAATAAAAACAATTAAAAAGTATTAATAAATGTAATTCATGCTAGAAATATTTGATTCATAAGTACGAAAAAAATCGACATTCATGAATTTTTTTCAATAATTTGACAATTTATTGTTCTTTATTAAATTAAAAACATTATCATTTGAACCGAGACAATATAAGAAATATTAATCTAAATATTTCTTTACGCTTGGATCACTTTCGGTTGACTTATTTATGCGAACATACACGCAAGCATACCTTGTTCGTTTGTTTTTTAAATTTGGAAAAAGTAAACTAGAAACGTAAAAGCGTATGGTATTTAAGAGTGTAAAAGTATAAGATAAAATCCAGATTTTAATTTCACACCGGCACCTGTATTGCTTCTCTTACTGTGAATTCATCGAAAGATAACAGTTATTATTTAAATAATAACACTTTGATGAAATATACTGTACAAAAATTACCGTGAAACATAACAGAAATTAAGGAAAAAAATATTTCTTTATGGGTAATAGAGCCCGCTCGATTTGAACTCGTCCCACCGATTCGTCACAATATTCAGGAATAATATAAATTCTCTTACACCGGATGAAGATCATTTTTTTCTATCGTTGATGTTTTAGCACTGGCATCGCGTAGTTGCAAAAATCTCCAGAAGCACAGTAATAATCAACGGTTAAAGGAAATGTGAATAACATAATGGAAAGTAACAACGTCGCCATTGCATTAAATCAGATCCGTCAAAATCCTAATTTTCACATGTGCGAGATTGAGAGCAGCGAAAGGTAGAACACACACCCAATTGATCGTCAGAAAATACAAATACAAGATGAACGCACGACTATACAATAATTTAAGACACGTCTAAGATTATTTTGTTTATTTCAAGAACGAATGCGAAAAACGAAGAAACTTTTCACGAGAAACCGACGGAGAGGTGAAAACACCCATGGTGAAGGTAGCCAGTGAAATATAGCTTTCGGATGAATTCGGCTATAAACCGAACTTCACCGAACCTTTACCATCCCCAACTAAAGATGCAAGTCGTTATTTACATATCTCGTTTTACTTTACATATGTACTGTATTCTACTGAATAATATTGAATACTTCCTTTTTTTTAATATAACTGTAAAAATTAGTATTTGACTATTTTAATTGTTGAGAAAATTAAATAATAATGAAATCTGGAAAAGATGTCATTGATTATCAAAACTTCTTTATAAAAGTTGGCATAGTAAATCAGCGTGAAAGAATAAACGAATGTCTCTTATAATATGCTAAGAATTACAATAAATAAACATAGAGAAACATTTATTTTTATACTTCAAATTATTTTTTAATTATAAAGATATTACGATGACGCAATTTTAGTTTTAACCGTGCATCTCTGAAGATTGTAGTGTTCGAGAAAGAT